ATTTGACTTGAACATACAGTCAAACAAAAAATTACGACCAGAAAAAGTAAGAAGAAGATAACGACGTAAGCAAAGCAATTTCCAATGACATTTTTAGAAGCACAACGTTTCTTGTGTGCAAAAAAAATATTTTTTTCAAATTTGGTATGGGTTCTTTTTGTAAATTCTTGATTTTTCTAAATTAACATGAACACTCATATATTAGCTTATCTACCTGTCAACGTACCGGCTTATTTATTTATCTAACTATCCATTATTGTAGCCTACCGAGACTTTCTTAAGGACGAAAGAAGGCACAATGCCTGGGCAGAATACATACATTTAGCACAGAAAAGTTGTTTGGGCTACTGGCATGGCCAGAAGGCCAGCCCATTCAACAAAATACAAGAATGCTAATTCACAAGTCCACAAGTAGCGCCACACCAATACCGAGGGGTAAACCACTATCGTATTACATAGCTGGCCATCATGCGTGTCCATAGACAGATGCAGGAACACTGGCAGGTCCAGTACGGAGGTTTCGCGTCTGTTCCTGCTTGCCACGTTGTTTCCACTTTAGAGGGTAGGAGAAGTCTGTAACGAAACTTCCAGATGGTTTACGGCTAGTGTCGTTTTAGTTTGTTGTAGTTTTTCTGCAGTACACGGGGCTGGGATAGATGCCGAAGGTGGCCGTCAACTTCAACCCTTATATTGGGGTGATCACCATTCTTTCATCCGTAGCTTATGTACTTCTTCCGCCCCACCAATGTTTATCGTGCAGAGTTAAAAACAGGATCCATGTCCTTTAGGATCGGGTTCACTTTCCGCTGCCACCAATGTAGCATCCCGAGACTTCCCCGAAGACGAAGGAAGACACAATACTTGGGCAGAGTACATATATATTCAACTAAACTTTAAGTGGCAACAATCACCCACACTACGGCTGCATCAACGATGCGCTCTGTGTCACATCGAATTTATTGGAGGCAAAGCATATCTGTCTGCATTCACAGCTTTTCTGCAGCATGTTCTTCTCCACAGATAAACACTGTCAACTGGCTACAGAAACCACCTTCTATGCCCTAGAGAGCCCTTTTTAACCATACCGCCATAGATCCCACTCCTTTCAACAAGGCATGAGACAATAGCACATGGTGCAGTTTTGGAGGAATCAACACTTACGAACTGTCTATGGATGAGTTTTGAGCTACTGTCACTTGTTGAAGACCAATAAGCAAGTCGATGCCATTCACATATATTTACGAATGACAGGTAGTAGGTTTCCACGAGTATTAATTTGTTCATCACTTATACCGTTTTACAAGAACCACCGTTGTCAGTTTGTTTTATAGCAGACAGCCTTTCTGATGCGACATTACTTGACTTCTGATTAGTGCATAATTCGTTTCCTTGGCATTGGACAGTTGCTTGTTAAACAGACCCGCTACCCGCGAAGTAGTGGTGAGATAGAGGCGGAGAGGGCTAGGCGTTTTATTTCCAGGGAGACGCGGACTGCTGAAGGCAAAATTCTCAAGCTTATCTCGCCAAATTAAATGAACAGATTGTAATTGTGCTTCTCCCAATTAAGACCGTACG